TGGTGCTTCATCCTCAATAGTCCACCACCGAAAAGCCACCATTTAACATCCATTCATATCTATATAAATCAAATCATTTTCCACAGAGAAAAAATTACCCATTTCCCACCAAGGGTTACTAGTAATTACAACCAGATACAATGACTTCTTCTTCAACCATATTCACAGTCACCAATGAACAGTTCAACCTGTTTCACTCCATTGACCGAAACTGTACTCACGGTTGATTCTCAAACTTGGCCGGGACCAGGCGGAATCGATGCAAGTCATGGCATTCTGGTTGTGGCTCGAAAGATCAGGCCGTGGCTCTCCTGTTGTGAATAAACTGTTGTCTCTGCCCATCACTTTGATCAATGAACTTGCAGATGAAACTGTCACTTGCTTGAAATGCATAGAAAGCGACAACTTTTCTTTTCATGGTCCAACTATTTGTGCTCTTCAAAAATGTGACAGATAGTGGTATTACTCTTCAATTCATTCATGAGAACAGGATCAATGTTCTTCGTGGAGTGACGAAGATTGTGAATGAGGTCTGTGCTAGGGCTTTTCGAAGAGTTACTGTCCCTCAAATGATTGGCAAAGTCGGTGAGTCTAGCAGTTCTGTCAAAACTGAAGGAGGGAGAGTGAGAGGAACAATGGTGGGGGGTGGGTCTTATCACCCAATTATAAATGTGCCATTTAATACAAGTGTGGAAGCTATTCCTCATGTGGGTCATGGCGGAACTGTGAATTTTGGAGAAGGTATGCCTTCTTCGGAGAAAATTGGGGTTTCTGGGCATGTGGTGGGTGTAGGGAATGTGAAGGGTTATGATTTGAGTACAGAGCGCCAGATTTTGAATACTGAACTGAGTGATATTTTGAGCCGTGTTAACCTAACTGTGACGGAGGAAGAGAGAGAAGTTTCACCAGATGACAGGAGTGTCTTCTTAACTTTCTCCAAAGGATACCCAATATCTGAAACTGAAGTTAGAGACTTCTTTACCAGGTAGATAGATACCCTTTCTCCCTCTGTGTCTTTTCATATTCCTCTTAATATGCATATGTATCAGTGTGTATACATGATCATCAATCAATCCTATATGTAATTAATTTTGAGAGATTCTTAATTCAATGTATTCATTAAATAGTTATGAGTTTCAATGTTGGATAGAGTTCACCTTTAATTTAATGAATGCATTCAATTAGGTATCCTCTAATTAAGTTTAAATAATATTTTTCATAATCAAATGATATTTTCAATTGTATTACTTAACCCTGTAATGTCACTTTTGACTCTTCAACTATCAATTTTACCCAGCCCTAAAATTTCAATTTGAATTTAATGGTCTTTCAAATTGATATCAAAAAATGTCCCCGGAGAGGTGTGTTTAATTCAATGGCACGTGACGTGTTCTATTATCGACGGATTTAAAACTCACCATCATCGGTTGGACCATTAAAACTCGACTCAAAAACATTAGTGGGTAGAATGAACAGACTTGGAAAAAATTGGGGCCATACTTTTGGGACTAAAAATACACCTTGTCCTATTTATTTTTCTGTCTTTTCTTTTTGCATTGAAAATTTTGTCACCAAATTTATTAGGTTTATTCATATTGACAGAAAATTTGGAGATTTTATTGAAACCATTTACATGCAAGACGTCCCAGCTGATGAGCAAGCACTATATGCACGACTTATAGCCCGTTCGGCGTCGGTCATTGAAGCTATCGTCGGCGGTGGAGGTAGAGCAAAGTACACTATCAATGGGAAACATGTCTGGGCCCGGAAATATGTGAAGAAGCGCCACCCAAAATCGCCACCGCGAGTAACAGCATCACCGCAGTCACAACCAGCTTCGCCGATGGCAGCGCCGCCACCACCACCCTGATTTGGATGGCTTTTTTGAGAATTTTCAGTGAAGTGTTGTTGGATTGAATTCAATTGTAGAGTGGGAATGGTTTGAGATCAATAAATAAGGACGACATGTCCATATGTCACTAAATTATACGCTGTCTTATGAGTTTAAATTTTGTTTCGCTGCCCTGTTGAAGCGGTGGTATCCGACTAGCCAATAGACAGATGACAAGTCAGCAATCAATTAATTAAAGATGAAATAACTCCTAACCATTAACCATTTTACGTTAAAACTAAAAATTCGAATCGATTAAAAATTTTATTTTTTTTACGTATTAAAATTTAAGTTGATTGAAATTCGATTCATGCCCATAAAAAATATAAATTTTAATTAACTCAATTAAAAAAATATAAATTTTAATCAACTCGAATCGAATTTTAATCGATACTAATAGCTCAAGTTGAATTTAAATCCAATCAAATTTTAATACGTAAAAAAAATTAATAGGCTTAAATTTTAATACAAAAAAATTAAATTTAATTAACTCAAATTTTAATAAGCTCAAATATATATAAAGGGAGAGAGAGAGAGAGAGAGTTTCGTAAATTGTAACTATTGGTTAAGTTGCCCAAATAATTGGAGGAACCTCCAATTCGCTTTCTACATCAACGTATTCAATTACTTTTGAATCTTAAAAATTGAAGTAAGTAAATAAAAGCCTCTAACAGATGCATGCATGGTAGTGTCAACCCCGATTCCACTACAACCAAATCATTACCGCCATAGAAGTTACCATTATATATATCATCACCCCGTATATAAATACTAGCAATTACTCCGTGTTTGAAAATATTGTACAATATCAAAAATCAAACTAATCTTATAATATTTATATTTTAAATAATAATTTAATTTTCTAAATTACGCAACTTAAAATTAAATCGAAGAGAGAGATGTGTAAATTGATGAAATTGTTAAATATTTGGGAGTACACCGATTAAATTGTCAAACATCAAAAGTCATGGAAAAAAGTAAACGTTTTTTTAGCAAAAAAATAAATTTGGGCATGAATTTTTTATCATTAGAACAAAGTAAATAAAAATTAAATCAATCTTAATCATTGTTGTACGCTTGTGTAAATTAAGAATTTAACTTCATAATATTAGATAGATATACCCTTGTGAACTTGAGAAAGTAGTGCTTCAACTGTTAGTACTTCAGAGAAATGGCTGCTATGTATACATTTCATGAGCAAAACCACATCAAGCATGTGACCACATAATACTGGATGCTCCCAAGAAATAAAAGAAAAAACTATCCTTGGTGACTATGACTACCCAGAGAGAGCATATAACTAGGTGTGTGAATTACGAATGAAAATATTAGACTTCAAACCTGGTACACTAAACATAGGCATATCCAAATAACATAGTTGGAACTCAAGAAAATAAACCCAAGAAGAGATTTAAGGTTTAAGGTACAAGAGAAGGTCAAATCAGCATAATTTGCATACATGAGAAGTTCGTCTCCATACCTAACTTACGTGGTCAGGAAATTTTGTTTCCCAAACTCCGAGTAAAAGAAACATTTGAATTCTAACTAAAAATCATTATAACCAGCATTGAATAACCAAGCACACAAATCACATTTTCCATCTCTAACTAAAAATCATTATAACAAGAAGCATTTGAATTCTAGCTATCATTAAGAAAAAAATGGGGTTTTGTCCTTGTTGAATACAGAAAATGTGATCCTAATTGGAACATATCAAAGCATTGAAGAGAGAAGAACAGAAAGAAAATGGAAAAGGGGAAAGAAAAAGAAAGCTCATACAAATCACTAAAACGCCAATACACAATGTATAGGAAAATCTTACATAACATCACTACCGGCAACTGATGACATAACACATTGATGCACGACAAATAGAATACATGGAAAAAGGAGTGTGTCCGGATTTCATCCAGCTACATCTGGTCTACCCTCCCATTGTCCTCAGAGATTCCATCCCCTGCATGCCTGCAACCAAATTCATTAAGTATAATTAAAATGTATTCTATATTCTATGAACCGGAATTCACATTACAACTCAGTAAGATAAAAGTAAAACTAGGTAGCCGACCATTGACAGCAAACATGAACTCTAGCATTCTTGGTCAATGTTATATGAGAAAATAGTGAGACATGACCATCAACAGACAAACAAAAAAATATCATTGGCTTGATCAGCAAACGGACTTCATGCTATGTGCATGTGTAAGCTTGTCACTGCTTCATTGTTGAATTATAGAAGCCAGATCAATGGGGAAAGCAAAAAAAAAAAAATAGCATACTTGAGTGAGACAACTCCCAGCCCGCCCGCCCCCCCAACAAAAAAAACCAAGCCAACTCCACTACCCATTACTCAATGAGAAAAAAGCCTCAATCAGGTGACTCGGGTTGTCATTATGACAGGAGGTAAAAATTTGGTGGCTTGACAATAAACAAATTGGCGGTGAGATCTCTTTGTTAGAAAGGAAGGAGACATCTACTGAAACTAGAAAGAGAAAGCTAAAAGAATTCTCCGCCATTACCACTCTGTTTAAACGACTCAGATTAAAACAGGGCATCTCATAAACTCCCCACTACCTACCATGCATTCCTCCAGACCACAAAAAGGGGAACGCGAGAAGGAATGCATTCCTCCAGCTACGTTCTCAAAAACCCTATTACCAATTCCCCCACCCCAAACCCAGAAAACACTGAAAACAAAATAAAAATGTTAAACCAAATCCACACTATATTTTGAGTAGCATATGCAAAAGTAGTCTCTCTATTGTCTTTATGAATGCTCTACCCGACCTAGTGTCATTTTGAACTAGGGCATATAGTAGACAGGCATTTATGTCCATCTACTGATGAGAAGTTGTAGAAGATAAGTTTTAGGACTTTTGGAAAGAAAAAATAAGCGAAGGTGCTGTGGAAATGTGTTCGGGCACTTCTTTTGTGTATTCTGATGGGGAGGAATGCAAGAATTTTCAAAAAGAATGGCTCCACTTTGAATCAAAGCCACCATAAGTTTTACAGGGTTGCCTTTGTCAGACTTTTAACAGAATTGGAAGGTGGTTCTTCTTTACCCATTTTTTTTCCTCCTTAAGACTTCTCTTTGACATGAATTTTGCTTCTTTTTTTTTAGAGGATACCTTGTCTTCAACATTGTATTTTGTTCTTGATTTCCTTCTATAATAAAATTCTTCTTTTATCAAATAAAAAGGCTGTGCTGCCATACCAGTGTTGCAAGTTTAAGACTACAAATTAATCCACCAAGATCCATGCCTGATTACTTAAGAAACCACTCATTAGCAATTATGCTGCTGCTCAAGTCAAACCTCAGCCCTAAATCAATTTTAGACAGTAGAGAATCATTTTGTGGTTTTTCTCATTCTATGTCACATGAGAGACGAGAAAGGAAAAAATGGTGAACAGACAATTGCTGAACTTTTACATCAACTAGTTCTACGTCACATGAAAGCCCACCAGCAGGTTTAGGCCTTAAATGTTAAATTGAGTGTGCTTAAGACATAGCTAAGTTTGGTTGAATTGAACAAACATAAGGTCAACGATCTCAAGCTCGCTCACTTGCTCTCTCTCCACATAAAACTGCTAGGCTTATGCTCTCCTAAGAACAAAGAGAACTCACTTGAGCAGTATAGTTAATCAGAAAAAGCCACAATACCGACCCCCTAACCCAACCCAATATCCAAGAAAAAATGCTCTACACTCCCTAAATTCACACCTATTATCCACACTCATTGATCATATAAAAGCATAAAATCCACAACACAAATACCAAATTGCTTAACCAATGGACCATCAGATTTGCGGTTGACTAATTCTATGTAGGAGGATAGGCAAAGTAGCTCAAGGAGGAAAGAAACAATGAACTGGGCCAAAACAACCTCCTGGTAGTACTTTTAAGACCAATTGGAATTCAGACCAGATAAACTGTTATCCAAAATGTGATAGTTCCATGATTTCACTTTTATCAGCAACTAAATCAAAACTACAAGAATTTTCAATCTTGGGGTGAGAAACAAACCGCCAAGAAGTAGTTAGATTTCGAGCTTTTCTGTCCAACTGAAGGTTTTCCAAGGCCGTGGAAGCACGGATTACATCATCTGGAAGCTCATCACCATCATATCTCCAATTATATTCATCTTTCCTGTAGCCTGAGATGGAGGACCCTGCTCTCCGATCTACAGATAAAAGCATATAAGATCACAAGAATTGCAAGCAAGCAGACATTGGGGAGATCAATTTTACTACTTACCAGATGCCTGGGAAGATGGAACCAGCCTGCAAGAAGAATCCAAAATATTAAAGCTTATTAATAAAAAATGGAAAAGAAAGTGGAGAAAAAACAACAGGAAAAAAATGCTAACTAGTTTCTTGGTTAAGCACCTTCCTAGTGGAGGTAAGCCCCCGGCGATAGATGATGAGGAAGGTCTCCTAACATTCCGAGTTTCTAAATTGGAAGAGGATTCAGTTTCAGGATTCACTCTCCTTCCAATACCTCTTGCTTGAGATAAATTCTGCCAGAATATAAAGGAACAAAGCAATTAATGGTCAAATTCAACTAAAGAAAACAAAAAACATAAACCAATTTGCTTGGTGGACATAAAACACACATGCTCCATGGTGAAAAGCATAATTTAACATGACCAGGTTAAAATATGTAAATCAATCGATCGTAAAGCATTATTGTTATATCCCATATTCTTACACACTAAGAACATACAGAACATCATCTCGAAGATTAAAAAATGTAACACATTAAAATTAACTTTCATGTAGACGAACATATATACACATAAATCCGAAACTAGACAAAAATTATTTGCAAATTAAACAAATCCTTGCATCAAATAGACTGTCAGCCAATGGCACTAGTCTTCATTCAGCATTCAGCTAAATGTGGGGTCAGATAGGGTAAATTATAGGCATTCTGTCTTTTCTAACTGCTTTCATCCACGGAATTTTTCCCCTCCTCGTCTTGTGAATGCATTTGCATTGCAACAACTCACATGCATATTTTCTGGACGATATTGCAAGCTATTCTTATTGATGCCTCCATTAAAATGATGAATGCCCTTATTCTAGCATTTCTTATACTCCTATTCATCTGTGTTAACATCTACTTTTGGCCATGAATCATTCAAAAACAAATATATAAAAGAAAGGCCAAATGTTAATGTTATTACCATCATACCTAGTATTCATCTCTCTCTCTCACACACACACACATTAATAAGGAGGTATCACGGCATGTTGGAGAACAACTAATCCTCCGGTGCACATTTAGACCCTAATGCCTCAACCCACATGCAGCAGGTTGTTACCACAACAAATCCTGGGCATTGCCCATAGCTAGTTTTCATCATAGAACTGATTTGGGATCAGGATGTTTCTAAAACCTTCCACAAACTACCTTGATGTTAACTAGAACAACAGTGTGAAAACTTTCACATCTATGTGAGGCGAGGGTGCAAGAACCCTATGTGATAAACCTATAAATAATATTCTTATTGTAATTGAGAGGGACCTTTGATATTGAAATTTATTTTGAAATCAGAATTGGAATATTGTTCTTTTCTCAATCTTTTTTGTTTTCTCTTCTCCATCTGCCAATGGTTCTGTGTCACCTGATAGAAAGGTACACTTCAACTGATCAAAATTAGCAAGAATTCCTTATTAATTGTTCTTATCCCATTCAACATTTGTTTTAGTACATAAGCACAAAGCAAATTACACTGCATAAATTAGCAATATAACTGATCATAAAATATAGAAATACATAATCACATTATTCCATGATGGTACCATGCAACACATGAGATCAGTTTAGAATGGATGATATCAGCAATATATAAAATCGTACCTCATATTTCAAGAAGCCTTCAAGGACATCCAAAAGCAAAGGAGCACTGTCTCCATTCCTGTTAAGATCATATCCATTCTTGCTACTAAATTCTTTCAACTCAGATCTCCAAAAATCCTTTTGCTACATTAAGTGTTAAAAAAAAATAAAATCCATCATAACCTATGAAAAAGATGACTTAAAGAACTTAGCAAAGGATGGCTGGACAAAAACAGCAGTATCAAATGCAACAAAGAAATTGTTTATATGATTACCAAATTGCACTCTGGCAAATAAACTTTTATTGTGTGATTCAGTTGTGCCCAATCCAAGTATTCACATATTAGTGAAGTTAAAAGCCTCCCTGCATTTCGCACGTCGAAGTGCGACCAAAGAAGTAAAAAAGGAAAGTAGATTAGGATACACAACCATATGAAATTTAAACCACTTTCGAAAAGGCAAGCATATATGATTTTTAAATGCAATTCAAGAGGCAGGTACATTGTGAGAGTGTGTAATTGTGGAGTTTCAAACTGGTCCACACTCTTTTCCATTATGGTCAGGAGGGTTTAGCATGAGTCACCCAGTTCTACTTCTTCTTCTTCTTCTAGACAAGCACCCGACTACCTTCAAATTTTGAGTTTTATTCTAAAACTTTTTACTGATCAAAAAGAAAATTCTGCCAAAACTCTGCACTTTCAAAATGGGTCAAGATATGACTTCTGCCCGCTGTTTGAATCTGTTAAAACACAATTTTTCCTATTTGTTGGTTAGTAGATAACAAGCAAATATAATACTGCTTACAGGAGGATGAGCTCTAATATAAGGGCTGGTAGACCTCAGGTTCAAAGCAAGGAAATAAAATGGTTGAGTTAAGATTGAAATGGCTATTTTTGGGACTATATGCACTTGAATTGGATCCAAAGAGCCATAACCTGATCCCAGGACACAAATTTTTCTTCCACAGCAATAACAGATTAGGAAAAAAAAAGTAGGGTTGAAGTCAAAAACATTCTCACTCAATTCACATGACCCAAACTTCCCCTACTCATTAGAAAACATCTCAAACTCATTTACTGCGTCTACTAGTCTAAATCCAGTCACAAATGTCCATTACGTTAAAACAAATGCACAACCAGCTGAAAAAATTCTATGAAACTTCTTGGTCGGTCAATTTTTTGTTCTAAATGCTTGCTGACAATTATCAAAGATGATAACACTATATCAACAATTGGTCTTTGATAGCCTCCTGTACTAAACTACCAAAAAAAACCCCTTAATTGAAGTAATACACCCTACACCTAGAAAAGGGATTATAAGTTTCCCAAGGGAAAATGAAAAAACAAAAAAAAATCAAGCAATTATACGTTGCTTCTACAAGACTAAATGCCAATATTGGCAACATCTAACTCCAGACCTGCAAACCAATGAAAAATAAATGGCTTGAGCTGGCCAGGTCACAAGATACCTCCACCATATCAAACAAAAAGACAATTATCAGCAAATGTATTCTTATAAATTCAATCCCTTATAGACTAATTGTTATCAGGTTGCTGCTCCCCAACCAAGTCTAAATGAGTGAAGTTCAAGTTGGGACTTCCGGACTTCCCCTTAGACCACCACAATTCGATCTATCCAAACTGAATTTCATTGAACAATATTGCTATGAATCAAACCATAGACACTTCTCAGAATTTATGCCCATGAAACTGAAAAACCCTTTGAAAGAACACAGCTAGAAATCATTATCCATTTCCAATACAAAAGTAACCATTCAAAAGAAGAAAATGAGAATTAGATGTGAAGAGGAACCTGAAGGAGAAGCATGCAGTTGTTTCGCACGATCATTGCAGCTACCCAAAAGTGCAGGAGGCAAACCTTCTTCCGTCTCAATTGCCTTATCCTCTTCTTCAATTGCCTCAAATACACTTGCTCTAAGTTCGGCCTACGTAGAACATCATATGTGTCAACCAACTTTGGCATAGAAACACAAGTTCAGCCATGTTTGTAAACCATATGAAGAGAAGGAATAAACAAAATTCCAAGGTATTACTTTTTATTGAGTAGATAACAAGAATGACTTGAGACCACGCAAATCAAACAACACAGAAGGGCATTAATGCATCTTAGCATTGTTTCTATTTAACATTCTTAGGGACTCTAATTCCCCAACCCTCACCAAATCAATTAGACGGTAATGCACAGCACTCATTCCTCTCTATAGAAAAAGGAGGAATTAATGGTAAACAACTATTTCACCCATGGTTCGAACTCCTGGCAATTACCATCACAATGCAACGATAGAAAATAGAGCTCCTGTTGTCAAAATAAGTAAAAAATAGAGCCTGCATTGAGTTGAGGAAATCGTACTCCACCACTCACCCCCCAAACAAAATCCGAGGGCTTTAATTCACGTTTTGCTAATTCTGATCATAAGAATTCCACGTTCGATAAAATAACTTCAATGATGGCATTATGAGCAAAACCCTAATACTTCAACAAAAATTGTATAAACCCTAATATCTAAAAGGTGCTCAGTGACAATTCTTTCTCTTTTACCAACAAGTTCTCTACTTTTTGAACAAGTATTACATGCTCCTCAACAAAAAATCAACCCCAAAAACCATTTCCTCAAGTGCATCTACAAAATCACACATACACACATATACACTTATAACCACTCGATCCATCAATTGATTACGTCTCCTTCCACCAATATACACATATAAACACAAATACATACACATAACAGCAATCTGGTATAAAACGATCCACGAAGAGAATCAATGAGAGAGAAAACGAAAGTCATACCCGGATCTTGGCGAGGACGCCCTTCTTTTCTAGGGTACGAGTGACCAGGGTCTTCAGGTCCATCATCTCTCTAGTGTAATCGTCCATCTTTTTTCCTTCCTGCAGGGGTTTTCTTCTCAGTTCTATCAGCTCACGGAAAAGCGCCCTCTCTCTCTTTCTCTCTCTCTCTCTCTCTCTCTCTCTCTCTCTCTCTCTCCAATCTGTTTCACAGTTCAAGTTCGATACCTTTTCCGTTTGGTTAAGTGCGAGGGAAGGAGAGAGAAAACAATTGCAAATTACTCCACTCCAAATGTGTGTCAAAGCTGTAAATGTCGTGTGGTGCAAGATGGGTGTAATTATGGAGTAAATATTCGATACAAAGATGACATCGTATCATTACTGTTACCTGACATCACTATTTAATTAAAAATTTAAAAATAAAAAAAATTTATTATTTTCATCAATAACACGTAAGATTAATGAAATTCACATTACTTATTTATTATCTTCTAGTTGAATGATAAAATCATCTAACGACGGTGACACGGTGTTACCATTGCAATGAATATTTTTTCATAATTATTATGGTGCAGGTCTCATGCCTTATAAAGTATGCCACCAAAAGGGTAATTATCTATTTGATTTTACAATTGTACCCCTAAAATTTAATTTTATTTTTGTTGTTATTTATTTCAAATTTTTTAAAAAATGAGAAGAGTGACGTTATTCTCACCATTTAAATATCTTTTTCCACTTTATTTAATTTTTAAATTTTAAACTATTAAATTCATCTTATTTATACTTCCTCTAATAATAACTAATTTTTAAGGATTAAAATTTTGTTTCAAAATGATCGAAACGTCTAAAACGTTTTTATTTTCAAAGAGATCGAAATGAATCAGTGATGAAATCAAAATTTTAATATTTTAAAGTGTTTCATAATGTTCATGAGGTGTTTTGTAATGTTTTAACGTATTTACACAATTGTTTCAATATGTTTTAATGTATTTTAAGATATTTTAGTATATTTCGATCAATATTTTTAAAAATAATTCTTTATTTTTTTTCATTCTATTTTTGAAACGGATTGAAATGTCTCTAAAACACATTGAAACGTTTTATTTCTTAGGTAATCGAAATAATGCGCTGAAACAAAAATTTGATCCTTGCTAATTAATTTCACTACATGTGATGGTGGTGTAAAATGTGGATGAGCAGAATGTTTATGTATAAATAAGGTTCGATCTGAGCTACTAGGTTTGTGAGAATAGTGCAATAATTAGGGGATATGGGAGAATTCACACTAAGGAGTTATAGTAGTTTGCTAGCTCGAGTAATCACTCTTCAATGAAGTCTCTTGTTTTTAGGATCTATATTGATGATTTTCATATGGTTACACAGTGTTCTTGGTACAACTTGAATGACCCTTTTCATGATGTGGACACTGTACAATATGTATAGCCTAATTCATAATTCTATGGGGTTCGGGGTGAGGTCCTTGCCCTTTCTCCGTAACATCTCACTTAATTTCAGGAGAAGGTTTGGACAGTTGAGAATCTTACGCCTAGACTGGTGTCACGTCCCAGCCCGGTCTCCCAAAAATAAGATGCGACTAGGTTTTTGATACACTTGTTTACATATATATAATCTAAATTAATAAAACACTAATTAATCTCACAGGTGCAACAATACCACTCATCACCTTAGTTAGTAAGTATGATGGTAAACCTGTCTCACATATATAATACATGTACCAATTGTTTGTTTTTGAGGTTATAGACAGATACAAAATTCCATACTCACATAATATATATCACAAAATATGCCTGTTGAGTCTGTTTACAAATATATATAGTATTAACTTGTTATAATAATCTCTCATTAACATAATATACAATCCAACTAATAATTATACAGTCCCCCAACCAGTATCATTGACTCATTTAAAAGTAAATACATAAAGAACAGAATATCATACTAACATTGTACAAAACTCAACCCTTTTTGACAGTGGACTGATCTGTGTCTCCTTCTCTTATACCTGAAAAGGAGAAGCTATAGGGGTGTGAGCTAAACCATGCGCTCAATGAGTGTACATATTTTATATGAAATAAAAATGATAGTAATACATAGAAGTAAGTAAATACTACGTAAATACACATATCAAACAGTAACATCAATCCAATTTCAAAGTATTTACAAGCCATAACACATCTATACTACCCCTCATTGGGTAATCGATCCCACATGGATCCATGTTTTTCGAACCTTTCGAGAACACCACAGTGCTAGCACACCACTACATGCCCAGTGATCAAGCATCGATGCTCCTGTCTGAAATAGTGCGCCACATTCCACAATGCACAATACACAATGCACAATAAAAAGCATTATCCAATCACATAGGCACATAACACATAATCTTGGAGAAATGCTATTAAATTCTATCTTCTAACATCATCTTATAATAGCATTTTCAAAACATATACAGATATACACCCACCTCAAATATTTCGATTTACATCCCTTCAGTTCTATCAGTGGATCCTTCCGGTGTTTTCATAGCCCTTTTTATACCAACTGTCCTACCTATTCCACCTAGCATATCAATATTAATATGTTTATCACATTGAATAATTAATCATGCACTAATGCATGCAAGATGATTCAACCCAAAGTGTCCCGGTAGCTCCGATTATCGCACTATTCACTCACATACTGACACATTAGATTTAGGGATCATATTTTTTTCTCCAAATCTTCAAAATCACTCATATTAATCACAATTAAGATTTAGTAGGTCAAACACATTGACCGGGGCCCATTTCCACATATTTCGATCCTGAATCTCAAAAATTGCATTTCTGACATTTCGTACATTCCGCACCGAATATTATATTCATTTGCATTCCAAATTTACATTATTACATCAAGCATCGTTTAAAAGTAATGCATGCAAAAATTCAGGTCATTTGGATTAAAATTCACACATGCAACAATAACATTTAAAAATTAGGATTTTGGCGTTACCGGCACCCATTTTCAATTTCTGTCGTACTTTTCTTTTAAACCCACTACACATAAATTCACATATACATTTAATCAATGTAAAACAGCCCCTAATTGAGCCTTAAATCACCCATTTCATTCCCAAAATTTTTGTTTCCAACCTAGCCTATTAAATGTTTCCCGAATATCTCTAATGCTCATTTCTACACTTTTCGTACACTTGGTTGAGCACTTATTTAATTCCCCTTCTTAACATGCCCTAATTTTGTGTAACACTCTTAATAAAATATTTTTTGAACTTAAAATAAATCAGCCCATCATTTTAACACAAAATAGCCTACTAATTATGTTTAATACACTTAATTTAACATCACCAAAATATGCTTTGAAATTATATTAAAACAATTCCCACACATATACACAAATACTTAAAACTAATCACACAAACACTAAAATGAACACACATATACACCTTTATCTTCTTCTTATTTTCTTCCTACTTTGGTTTGGCATGGAGTCCCCAAGTTCTTCTTCCTTTCTTCTTCTTTTTTTTTTTTTCTTTTTTCTTTCTCTCTTGTTCACTCCCACTTACGGTTCTAGTAAAGAACCAAGCACACACACACACACACACACACACACACACACACTAAATTTTATATTAAACACACACACACACACATCTTTACTCTTTACATTATACACACACACATATTGTTTCATGAATTAAACACACACACTTTACTACACCTTTAGACACACACATACACTTGGCACACACACACATGCACTTGACTTTTCCAAAATGACCCACCACCTTAACCTTGACACATGGATATAGATATTTCATGAACTTTAATATTTCTATTTGTCTCCCTCCAAATTCTAAAGTAATTTCAAAATCAACTCAATACTAATTTCATACACAAAATTCTATCTAATAAGTAATTTCACATAATTGTAATTTGTCCACATAATTATGTTAATATGTATGCAATACATGATCAGGTCTCACAACTGGTGCTTATTGTTGTTGAGGGGGCTTTGGGTGGTTTCAAGTTGTCTCCCATTAAATTCCTTCGAGGGGTAGGTCGAGAAAGCTCGAGCTTGTGTGGCTCAGTTCCTTCCTAACCTCAATTCCGAAGTTCAAACTTGTAATTTTTTTCAGGTATCAACAGTTGCCCCCAGTCCCTGGTCAAAGTGGGTTTGTGCAAGGACTGAGATGTAACTGAGTTAAGTTACACTTCCATGTGGTGACCTTAATTTGCGCACGAAGAGTCATTTCTAACGATTTTGTGCAATCATTTCTTCCTTGTTTCTCATGCACGTCCCGTGTTTCGAAGACCCACTTACGCCAAGCTTTAAACACTTTTGAGACGATCGAAACTGCCTCACTTCTTTGTTAGATTCCTCTTTCCAGTATCTGACTCCTAATTTCCTTACGATTTTAGCTTCCCCAGTCTGTTAGTGTTCTTAGAGTTTTCACTAAAAATCGGCTTCCCTTAAACTGATTTGAGGGCTTTGCGAGGCCCGTTTTTTGATTGCACTTTGGGCTTCGATTTGTTACTCGTCCTTGATTAGGTACGTTCTTTGGCTCTTGCTCATTTCTTCATTCTGGATCTCTCGAATCCAAGGTGATTGCTGCACTTTTGAACATTTCATTTTTGCTATTTTAGGAATCGAGGTTACTCCTTGTCCCCTCTTCCGTGGCTGGCGCAGAAGAGGTGGCAAGTAACACTTCCTCCTATTTTTTGAATTATTTGTTTTGGGTTTCCAGGTTCTTCCTCAATGGAACCTTCTTTGAAAGATTTCAAGTCAAAGGTTGTCCTGTTAAAGAGAACCCAGAGTGGGGGCAAGTGCAAGGTTGAGGTCAGCTCAGGGAGCGGTTCAGTCTCCTTAGCCAAGGTGCCGAGGTTAGAGATGCCTCCTGCTACTCCCACTTTTGTCCCAAGTGGCTCTCATTCTCCTATCAAGCTCGTTGAAGGTGGCACATACCTCCCTTCCTCAAGGGGCTGTGCCTCCCTTTTCTGAAGGAATTTCTGAACAAGGTGTAGTTCCGACCTCTCCCTTCTTGGCAGAGGTCGAGAGAGCTTTGGAGACAATCACCTGTATTTTTGCATGGGTTTACCTCTCCTAGACCGGTTGAGAAGTCCCCTCAAGTACTTCTAAAGGATTCGAAGAATGAGAAAGGAAAG